TTTTACATTAGGCCTGTGATTCCGGGCACACTGTCCACACAAATGAACAACACTACTGAGCAGCAGACAGCATACTTTTTCTCTAAAGGGTCAATGGGTAAATGTTTTAGGCCTTCCTGGCCACCCAATTTCAGTAACTATTCAAGAATGGCACTGCACCACAGAAGTAAACACAGACAATGCTAAATACATGGGTGTGACCATTTTCCAATAAAACTTGACTTAGAAGAACATGTGGTGGCTGGGCTTGGCCCACAAGCTATAGTTTCTAATCCCGGCTCTACAGTCTTCGGCTAGAAAGAAATAAGTGTTTCAGGAAGAATACTGGACAGGAGCTCAAGGCTGGACTCTTGACGTGTCTGAATCTCAAGTTCTTTTACTGTTAAAGGCTTTTTTTTTCTCACTTTGAAATCATCTAGTTCTAAGAAAGAATTTCAATCCATCCTGAAAACATGACTCCCAGCATCCCTAGAGTCACATCTTGTCAACCTCATGGCCAATATGCCTTCTGGCTGTTCAACATGGTGGTGGGACATGGGACAGAGAAACTTCTGTAAGTAAAGTCCAAGATGATGACAGATGCTTCCCACTGCCCCCCACCCCCTGCCCTCCAGAAAGCCTTCCCTACAGAAAACAAATAGAGATCAAGGACAGAAAGAGATGGCTTGCTCATTGCAGAAAAAAATCATTGGCTAGTCAATCAAAAAATAGAACCCAGGGATCTTGCCTTACTCTGTCCTGTTAAGCTCTCTCTCATCAATACTGGTCATTCCAACACATTAAACTCTTAACAACAGTTCTCCTTATCCTTTGAAAAGTAATTCCTTTAACAACAAACTACGTCAAATTGAAATAGATCCAATTTGTGGTTGTCAACAACCTACTGACTCTCCTCTTCGCTTATTTTAGTTTGGCAAAACTGCACGCCAAAAACCTGATTAAACGGCAGTAACTTTTCACGTAACCTTTTAATTGTATGATACATCCTAATTTCAAAAATACTAAAAAAGTATACAACTGAATTTCTGAAAAATAATAGATTTTTAAAATTGACCTGGATACATGTGGCCTTGAGGATTTACATTTCAACCAGAAATAGAAAAAATATCCTGGGCCCCATCTGGCTTTGCTACTGAAGTTTTCTCCACCTGGAATGACCTCCTTTTTTCTAATCTCCACTTGTCCATATTCCGAGCATTCATCTAGGCCCTGCTAAAAGCCAGCTCTCTCTGCAGCCTCTCTGACATCCCGACTCTGACCTCTTTAACAGGAGACCATCTAAGACGTATTAATGCACTCGTACTTTTATAGCTCACTGTGCTCAGCTCTTTCATGATGAAGATTATGTCTTACACTTCCTTGAACCTGCCCCCCACCCCTGTAAAAATGCAATATAGTCCCTGAGACATGGAAGGTATCCAAATGCACACGTCCTAGTGCATCTGAGCAAATGATAACTGAACGGTGAGTGTTCGACTTCGCTGTTTGACCCACATTTGTGAGCAGTGTTTCTGTCACACCTCCCAATTCCGTTACGCACTGGTGTGACATCGGCAGCACCTTGATGTCTTGCTGGGCTGTGCTCATTTAGAAAGCTTGAAGGAGTGAAGTTTTCTCATCTAACAGCTTTGGGTGCATGTGCTCCCCAGAGAGATGGAGAGAGACAGAGAATGTAAGAAATCAACCCCCAGGGGGATGACCACACCGCAGTCCCTGCTCCTCCATTCTCCTCTCAGGATTTTGGGCATGCATGCACGCATATGTGCCTGGCTGAGTTTCAAGCCACCAGGTCTGGGACTTAAACCACAGTTAGCTATGTAGGAGTCCAGAACCTTAACCACTATGACATCTGCTGGGCCCAATGCAATCGTCTAAGAAATGTGGGCCCAGGATTACTGATATGAATATTCTGATTATGTGGGGCCATACAATAAAGCAGAAATTTTCCCTTTCTGTGTGTTCCCAGAGAGAGGGCACCCACAGACATGGGGCTCATCATTTGGCTGGTCCACTGAGCTTCTTCACTGATGAGAATGTATTCATTATCAACCATGCTGATAATTAGGAGTACAATTTTTAAAAATACTATGATGTTAAGAGACCAATAATTTGAATATTTACAACTTTACTAAACAAGACAATAAATAAGTCTCTAAGTCTAAATCATCTTTCTTAATTAATAGGTTGATTTTAGGTTCCCAAGAAGTCTGTGGTAAAGTGTCATGGAGGAGGTGGACACGACACACCTGGACAAGGAGGGGAGCATTATGAACAGAAGCCAAAGCAGCAAGAACCATCCTGCAGACCCTTGTCCCCTTGCCTCTATCTGACGCTGGGCGAAGGCCCCTGCTTCACTGAGGGGGTTCCCTTTGTCATTTCCCCTGTGCAAGTGACCAGCTAACATAAAATGAATGGAGCAGTTATAAATAACCTAAAAGAGCAGTCCTGAGAATTATAAGCAAGCAAAAAGTGCCTGCAAAATGTCCAGTACTATTATGGAGACCCTGCAAGAAGAGAAGGGTGTACACACACACACACACATCTATGTACACTATATATATAGGTACAGGGTATATGCAGGTGTGTGTATTGTGTATAAATATATAGGTATATACACCTATGTAGATATACATCTACATAATATATATACACCTATATATATACCTTATACCTATACATATATAGTACATATAGACTAGTGTATATATGGTATATAGAGTATATACATTCTAATGTGTGTATATATCTCTTATATGTGTGTGTGTATATATATTCTAGTATGTGTATATGTATCTTATGTGTGTGTGTGTGTGTATGGTTGTCAGAAAAGTCATGACATATTTTTCTATGCAAAAATGCGTCATGACTTTTCCGATGACCCAATACACACACACACACACACACACACACACACACACACACACACACTGTATGGGTCACTTACATGAATCACAGCAATACACTAATCCCATCCTTCTTTGCCAATTATCTGGGAAATTCCTTTTGCCGAAGTACTCTGCTTCTTTACCACCTATTCTTTTTTTCTTTTTGGAGAGGTTTTTCGCTATAGGGCACATGCACTTGCCAGACAGACAGAGAGAGACACAGAGACAGAAAGCGAGAAATCACCCCCCAGGGGGGATGGTCACGCTGCAATCCCTTCTCCTCCATTCTCCTCTCGGGATCTTGGGCACGCACGCACATGTGCCCGGCGTGAGTTTTAAGCCACTGGGTACGGGACGCGAACCGCGGTCGACTACGTGGGAGTCCAGCAACATAGCCATTACGCTAACTGCTGGTTCCCCCACCTATTCTTTTTTCTTCACAGTTCCTTTATTCTTTTTTTGTGATTAAAAAATGTAATGTATTGAGTCATCAGAAAAGTCCTAATGCATTTTTATATGGAAAAATATTGAAAAATATGTCACGACTTTTCCAATGACCCAATATATATATATATATATAGATAGATAGATAGATAGATAGATAGATAGATAGATGATAGATGAATAGATAGATAGATAGATATATGGATAGTATATACATTGAAAGAAAACCAGTGTGAACCCTCTGCATCCACCGTCCAGCCATCGAACCCTCAGCTCCTCATGACTAACCATACCTCAGGACTATCCCACCCACTGTCCATCTCCAACCCTGTTGGGGTCATTTGGAATTGAATCCCAAACATACATCATTCCATTTTTCCTAGCTTTTTAAACATACAAGTCATTTGGTTTCCATCTATTTTCCTGATTATTCAATACCTCTGATATAAACTATTTATAACAATAAAATTGAGGCAACACTGGACGTGCATGAGAGGACAGAGAAGAATGTAGAAAGAAATGATGTAAAAAAAAAGGGACAAGCAGTCCCAGCAGAGGTAGAACTGGCTTGCTGCAGTGCCTGTTCTTAGGGCCTTGCTGCATCCCCGCAGTCAGCCAGAGCTCCGTCCCAGGCATTTCTCCCAGCAGGTCAGGCTGGGGCTGCTCTGGGCCTCTGTCTCACTATGGAAAGGACAAAACTGTCTGCCCTGCAGGGCCTCGCTTGCTCATCTAGTCAAAACGTACTTTCCCTCTCTTGGCTTCCAAAGCACTTTATTATTTTGGCACATAGTCGGTGCTCGAAGAGTGACTGTACACTGGACGAACGAGACTTGGGGCTTATCTCACTCTGCTTCTACCTCAGTGATTTTCACATTCGTCTCTCCCCTAAATCCGAACTTCCTTGAGGAAAAAGACATTGTGTGCTACATCAGCTTGGTACTCCCTACTCCTAATGCGTCTATCTGCACATAGTAGGTACTCCATAAATATTCCAGATGTGAAGAGATGAACTAACCTTGCCCAGTGGTTAGAGGAGTAAGCTGGAGAATGAACTCATGTGAATTATGGACAGACTGACAAAAACACAATGTATAGTTTTTTTCCCCTCAGCGGTTTCCACTGGTTACTTGTGTTAGGAAGCAAATTTGGGCTTGTCATCATAAAAGAAAAAGAATTTGGGAGTGGTTTCCTCTGTCCAAATGATCTAGCAACACCTGCCTCTGACATCCAACCCTGTTGTCCTCCTACCTCCTTCCCAGGAGGAGACCATGTTGAGTTAGTGCCCCAGGATGGAATTACAGGCCTGTGTCTGAGACAAAGATTCTTTGTGCTCTGTCTGGCCATTAATTAGCTGCTGGAACTTCAGGACAGGCCCATTAGCATGCTTGTAAACCTTTTATTTTAAATGTTTGCACTTAGCTATGATTCTGATGTGACTCTCCTTGTAAGCAAGACCTAGGACGTTTGTTTCTTAACATTTCTGGGGCTCATTAACTACTCCATCTCAGTGGCTCATTAACCAGGCCATTGGGGATTTCACCTCATCCTGGCTGAAGCCTGGAGGGCACCTAATTGGGACTGGGGTGAGGCAGCTGCCAGGCTCTGCAGTGAGAGCAGGGCTCTGTGGGGCTCCCCTGATGGGAAGAGCCCGGAGGTGGGGAGCTTGCTCACCTGCTATTCTCCCGATGGGCATAGCGTGCTCTTCTGGTGGGGAGACGGAAACCATGATGTGGTTCATGTACGCCAGGTCTTCCCGGTGAGAGAGGTTGATGGGTTTCCCTTCCCGGTGCAGCCCGTCCTCGGAGAGCCTGGACTGTTTGAAATCCACGGAGTGCCGGGGGTTCAAGATCAAGGGGTGCATGATGGGGCTGGGCATCAGCTGGATCACGCGGGTGTTCTCCTGCCGCGGGCTGGAGGGCTTCGGGTGGGACTCGGAGGGCGCCGGACAGTGGTTATTCTCCATGGGAGACACTGACAGGGGGTAGGGCTCCTGGTGGTTGTTCTCTTGGTGGAGCCTCGGTCCCTGGGCCCTCTCGGCAGGGGAGAGGCGGCGGATCATGTTGTCCAGGGGGGACCGGAGGGGCCGCTGCTCAGGGTCAGGGGAAGGCCGGTGGTTGGCGGTGACGGGTGACCTGGAGCGGTGCAACAGTTCGATGGTGGGAGGGTTGTGGTGCACATTCTCCACGGGTGGCCTGGGGGTCCTCTGGACACAGTTATCTGTGGGGCAGAGAGAAAGGCAGTCACAGAACCCAGGAAAGTGAGAGGACAGGGACTTTGCTACGTTCTAACAGCAGTGTATTGTAGCGTGTCGCTTTCGCTGCTTCAAAAATTTTAAAGTGCAGGGGAAGGCAGGTGGTGTGGTGTTTAGGGACGCTGGACTCCCACATGGCTGACTGCAGTTCGAGTCCCGGATCTGGTGGCTTGCTTTTTTACTGGGAAGGCAAGTGGTGTGGTGTTTAGGGACACTGGACTACTCCTACATGGCTGACTGCAGTTCGAGTCCCGGATCTGGTGGCTTGCTTTTTTACTTTCTTTCACTCTCTTGCTCTTGCTCTCTCACTCTGTCCCTCTCTCGTCAAATTAAAATAAATAAGTAAAATAAAGTTAAATAAAATAATTCTTAAAAAAAAAAAAAAAGTCCAGGCACTTACAGGGGGCATGGGGTTAAGGAAACATTCCATTAATCACCTGTCAGTGGCTGATAAATGCCATGTGGCGTCCATGCTTATCTTCTCATCTGACGCTGCTACACGGCTTGCAGAACCGGAAACGTCCTCAGGCATTTCCCTTAGAGGCTTTTATTGACTTAAGTGTTCCTAACCCAATTTTCATATTCTCTGCCTCTGTGAGCTGGTGATATTAACGATACCTACCACCATGATTAATAATGATTAACCACTGCTGTAGCCTAGGAACTGGATTCTAGTGTTCAAAAGTCACCACACTCCTAAGCAGAAGATACCACGGTTACTCCTATTTTACAGATGACAAAACCAAGGCATAAAGAAGTAAGTGACGTGGAGGAGCAGGTGGCATAGTGGTTAGGGCACTGGAGTCCCCCATAGCCAACTGCAGTTTGAGTCTGAGACTGGTGGCATACAAATCACGCTGGGTGTGTGTGCGTGCCTACCCAAAATTCCGAGAGGAGAGTGGAGGAGACGGGAATGCACTGGGTCAAGGGACGGATCAGCACACATGAGACTAAGGGTCGCTGCTAAGGTTTAGGTGGACATCTCATAAAAACAGGGCTTTGGGACCAGCAGGTGGCATAATGGCTATGTCGCTGGACTCCCACGTAGTCGACCGCAGTTCAAGTCCTGGACCTGGTGGTTTAAACTCACACCGGGCATGTGTGTGTGCATGCCTAAGATCCCAAGAGGAGAATGGGGGAGAAAGGATTATGATGTGGCCATCTCCCCTGGAGGGTGATTTCTTGCTTTCTGTCTCGCTGCCTTTCTGCCAGGTGCACGCGCCAGCTAGCAAAAACCTCTCAACAAACAAACAAACAAACACCAAAAAGAAACGGGGCTTTCCACAGGGCTTCACATGTACCTCAGTCAGATCTGCCTGGCAACATCTGTTTCTAATGCTGTCTCACCAAAAGCTGTACATGTTTGCTGATCTTTCTTCTGTTTAAAGACCTGTCCCTGATTCTAAGCAGTGCAAGTCAAAGGTATTACCTATGTCCATTAAGATAGTAATACGTGAAGAACACGTGGGGTCTGGGAATGTGATAGGGTCAGTAAACAAGGACAGACGTGGTAGTACTTCAAGTCTGACACAGATTTAACAGGAAGAGACTTTAAAAAGTTGATTTATTATTACTTTAAAATTTGATATAGGGCACACATGCTCACCAGAGAGAGAGAGAAAGATAGATAGACAGAGAGAGGGAGACAGAGAAAGCCGTCAGACCTGGGACTTGAACCATGGTCAGCCATGTGGGAGTCCAGCACCCTAACCATGAGCCACCTAAGATTTTTTTCTCTTCAAGTTTCGCTAGACTTTACCTGTCATTTGAAACTGAACAAAAGAAATATTGTTTATGTTAATATTGCTTATATTATTGGTTATAATAAGTCCTTGACAACAAAGGGCTCAGTCAAAAGTCTGGTGCTTTCTCTCTCTCTCTCTCTCTCTCTCTCTCTGTGGTGAGCAAGTGGGCCCTTAAAAAAGGACTACATGGAATCTGTTACCATGAATTCAAAAGTGCTTAATCACTGGAATAGCTGTCAAAGGAAGAATGGTTTAATAAATCAGTTTTTTTCTCAAGAATGGAGTACTAGGACCAGCAGGTGGCGTAACGGCTGTGTCGCTGGACTCCCACGTAGTCAACTGCAGTTCGCGTCCCGGACCCGGTGGCTTAAAACTCACGCTGGGTGCGTGTGCGTGCATGCCCAAGATCCTGAGAGGAGAACAGAGGAGAAGGGATCGTGGCGTGGCCATCCCCTCTGGGGGGGTGATTTCTTGCTTTCTGTCTCTATGTCTCTCTCTGTCTGTCTGGCGAGTGCACGTGCCCTGTAGCACAAAAAAAAAAAAAAAAAAAAAAAAAAAGAAAAAAGAATGGAGTACTAGTCAACTGTAAAAAGGAAGAAGGAGTATCTCAATATTTTCCTAAAGACTGGTGCTCAGGCTCTATGGTTAATAAGAAAAGAAAGATGAAGTACTTAGGATCTGCTACTGCTTAATAAAGGAGAGGAACCATTCCAGTTTCAACCATGGTAGAGTGGTTTGTACCAGATTAACCTTCCTTAGAGAGAAATTATAGAGAAAAACCAAACCAAACCAAAAACTCATAACTATTTGAAGATACTGAAGACAGTGACCAAAAGTAAGACAAAAACCAAAGGAGATTTCACTCTTTTTTTTTTTTTTTTTTTTTTGGAGAGGATTTTTTTTTCACCATAGGGCGTGTGCACTTGCCAGACAGACAGAGAGAGACATAGAGACAGAAAGTGAGAAATCACCCCCCAGGGGGGATGGCCACACCACAGTCCCTTCTCCATTCTCCTCTCGGGATCTTGGGCACACACACACACGTGCCCAGCGTGAGTTTTAAGCCACCGGGTCCGGGACGCGAACCGCGGTCGACTACATGGGAGTCCAGCGACATAGCCATTACACTAACTGCTGGTTCCCAAGGAGACTTCACTCTTGAAAGAAGGGACCTGTCCAGAGTAAGACCCTTCTTTATGTAGCCTTCTCCCTTAGAGCCCTCCTCAGCCCATGTGGCACTGGGCAGTTAGAACAAGAACAGAAAGCTATCTGAGATGACATAGGATTGAGTATGCAGCTGCCAGAGTGGCACAAAATTGAGGAAGCTAATCCAGCACAGGAGGAAGCTGCAGAGGGGACAGTCGCTGAACTGGCATGTAGAAGTTCCCTCAGGGGCCGGTGGGTGGCGTGGTGGGTAAGGGCACTGGACTCCCACGTGGCCAACCACAGTTGGAGTTCTGGACTTGGAGGCTTGCTATCTTACTTTCCCTCTGTTCCTCTCTGGTCATATTATTTATTTACTTATTTATAAATAAAAACAAACAAACAAATTAAAAGTTAAATAATTCTTTAAAAAAAAGTTCCCTTAAATTCTTGTCTGACTTTTCTGTTTTTCTTGTCTGACTTTTGTACAGCACATATGTGGGGAGACTCTAAGTTCAGAGAAAAGCAACCATGAAAGATGTGGATAGAAAGCTGCTGCTGGGCACTGCATAGGGACAGAGCTGAGTCTGAGTCTTATCAAGGCTCTGTTAACACCCCAGGCTTTGCCCTGGATGGCCACACCTTAGGAGTAAAGGAGTAAAGACTGTCCCAGGACAGATCTGGATGAGGGATAACGGCAAAACAAAAACAGATTTACACTAATGAAATGGAAGACGAAGTGCCACAAATTCAAAGTGACTGACTTTAATTTAACTGCCTGTTAAAACAAAACTGAACACTGTTCAGAAGAATGTAGCACAATTCAGAGTCTTTACAATGTGTTATCTACCATGTTCAGTATCCAATAAACATTTTCTAGACATAAGAAATAGAAATAGGAGGCCAGCCCCGTAGCCTAGTGGTTAAGAAAGCTGATGGGGGAGCAGCAGTTAGCATAATGGCTAGGTCGCTGGACTCCCATGTAGTCAACCGCTGTTCGAGTCCCGGACCTGGTGGCTTTAAAACTCACGCTGGTGCATGTGTGTGCGTGCCCAAGATCCCAAGAGAAGAATGGGGAAGAAGGGATTGTGGCGTGGCCATTCCCCCTGGGGGGTGATTTCTCTCTTTCTGTCTCTCTGGCGAATGCACGCACCCTATGGTAAAAACCTCTCAAAAAAATAAAAAAATAAAAAGGAAAGCTGATGGTATATGGCCAACTGTGGATGAATTCTGGCCCTGGTGGTTTGAAAAACACATGTGGCATGTGTGCATGCATGTCCAAAATCCTGACAGGATGGAGAAATGAAGAAGGGACTGTGGCATGAGCACATACTATCAGGGGGTGCTCTCTCTCTCCCTCTCTCTGGTGAGCATGTGGGCCCTTTAAAAAAAAGAAAGAAAGGGGACCAGCAATTAGTGTAATGGCTATGTCACTGGACTCCCATGTAGTTGACCGCAGTTCGGGTCCCGGACCCGGTGGCTTAAACTCACGCTGGGTACATGTGTGTGTGTGCCCAAGATCCCGAGAGGAGAATGGAGAAGGGATTACAGCATGGCCATTCCCCCCCCACCCCAGGGGGGGCTTTCTCGCTTTCTGTCTCTCTGTCTATCTGGAGAGCGCACGTGCCCTTTAGCAAAAACCTCCCCCCTCCAAAAAAAAAAAGGAAAGAAAGAAAGAAACAATAGAAAAATGTGACTTATAATCAAGAGGAAAGGCAGTTGACAGAAACAGACCTGGAGATATTCCAGATATTGGAATTAGCAAAAAGGGACCTAGTAGCTGCTATTATAAATAAGTTCAAACACTTAAAGGACATAGTGGTCATTATGAGTGATGGCAGGTAAGAGACTGTTAAAGGAGAAAAGAAAAAAAGAAAGAAAAAGAAGAAGATTCTAGAACTGAAAGGTACATTACCTGAAATGAACGACTGAACTGGATGGACTTAAGAGCACACTGGAAGGACCAGCAGTTAGCGTAATGGCTATGTCACTGGACTCCCACGTAGTCAACCCCGGTTTGAGTCCCAGACTCGGTGGCTTAAACTCACGCTGGGCGCGTGTGCGTGCGTGCCTAAGAT